CACATGGCCTAAGCCTATGGCAATAATTGACCTCCCCGCCTTGAAAAAAAAAAAAAAACCTTATATTGTATGTTTGCCAGAGAAAAAAAACAGAATGCTTATGATTTCAGCCATACAAAAATAAGCACATACAGAAATTTAATGTAATTATCTAGGCAGCAGCACAACTTATTATTATTTATTTCGGATGCCCTTATAAGTTTCATAAAATTAATTTAATTGACTGAAGTTCAGATATAAAACTTTGAATGATAAATAATAATAACAATTAAAGAAATATTTAATTTGTTCTTTGTTTAAAGATGTATTTGTAATATAACTCTAGATTGCAGTAATCTTGTTAAAGGGTTGAACTAAAAAGGTATAGCTTGAAGTTAATCACCTGGAATTGTTAACAAAATAGCATATTTTAGTATATAGTTTAAAATTCAATTAGACAAAGATACAAAAAATAGTTCAAGAAATTGGTAAATAAAAAAACCAAGTTAAAATAATAAGAATATGACAATAGGGATATGAAAAATGACTTTCAGACCGGCGGCACTTTAGATTGACACCGTGTAGAACATACAATCTGGGAGATCCGTGAAACTCGAGATCACCATCACCCGGCTGAAGTTGGGAGTAGGGAATCCGGGGTGAGGGGTGAGGAGTGAGGAGCCAACTCCCGGCGAGTGTGTCTATATTTGGGCCACAACTCCGCAACGGCTAATGGCTTCATTTGGACCGATGTTTGGGCAACTGCCCCCGGACACTTGATGCCAATGCAGAGCAGAGCGGAGCACTCGGTGCACTTGACTCCGCCGCTGCAGCGTTTTTATCGTTTAAAAATATCATAAGACGATCCTTTGCTCTCCACTCCATCCCTTTTGCTCCCAACATCTCTGCGTTGGCAGCTAAAAATACTAAAAAATGTATCTGACTGTATCTGTATGTGAGTTCTCTTTGCATCTACGATTACGTGTCTGCACCCCGCCCCCCCCGTTTCCCCTGCGATCTGGTGGATGTCGCCCATCTCCGAGTTGGTCTTCCGCCTAGACAAAGGCTAATGCACTTTCTGGGCACACAAATCCGATGGCCAACGCATCGGGAAGAGAATTTCGTTGATTTATAATGATCCCTGCACACTCGGCTACCTAATTGCTCACTAAGTGGCAAATGTGTTCGATGATGAACAGGCTGTCAACCGGCAAACGCAGCATGTGGGGAAATCATAGGAAAATTGGAAATTATTAGAAATGACCATGTGGGTGGGCTAAAGAAAACTCCACTAAGAATTACTGTCGCACCGGGAAAAATATAAACATTTTCCTTTCTTTTGTCTAAAATTATATTCTAGCAACATTGTAAGTTCCTAAAATAGCAAGAGCTAATCTGTAAATAAAGTTTACACACAGTAAGAACTTAATTCATGGACAAATAAATTTTATTAAAAGGATTACAGTTAGTATAAAGATTACATTACAAATAAAAACCATTCCAAAAATTACAAGAAATATAACAAATACAAAACAATAATATTAAAAACAATTTTATTATCATGAAAGTGTTATTGGTTAATTTTCTTAAGGTGTGCCCCAAAAATTTAAAGATGTTATCGTTATCCCAAGGTTCCGCGCCGTACATTAACAACTCAGATGATAATGTATATTTTATCAATGTTATTATTTTTTCCAGTGCGACAAAAGCCCTCATAAATCAGAGCATTTATTAAAAATGCATTTGTAACTTGAACAGTTTGCTGAATGTTGTTCGCCAGCAGCAAAGTTTGTTTTGCCATTTCCTCTGGCTTGGCCACTTTATTAATTTTAAAATAAAATGGCACAACCATTAACAATCGCCAAGCAGAGTCCACTCGCAACGGCAACTAAAAAACGGCAAAGCCACAATAAACAATACAGAATATACAAGGACAAAAACAAGGACGAGGACGAGGACGAAGAAAGCCAAGCGAAGCTGCAACGAAATAAAACATGCTTACTTACACAATGTTCAGTACGTGTAGAACACTTATATCCTAGGTACGTAATTCGTATACTTCTCTGATGCACTGTAAAAAGTATCAAAGGAGCGGGAAACTTTCTTCGCACGCTTCGCAGTCATTTGGAGCATATGTTTCGAACATTTTTCATAATCAAAAAGCTTTTAGCGGCGGACAGTGGCAATGATGGCTAGCGAGGATGCAGCATTTTCCGCCGTCCCTGCCACGCCCCCTTGAGCACCGCCCGTGGGCAAGTGGAGCTTATTGTCCGTTTCATTTTCGAGTGCAGCAGCGTGTAAAATCGCAATAATGCACAAGATTCCCAGCGCAGCGAACAGTTGTCCACAGACCGTTTTCCTTTTTCCGGGAATAAAAACTGAAGCCTGCAGCAGGGATATGTGGACACGACGAACTGGTGTTACCCTGAAATCATAAATAAATGGCAAATTTAAAGGGGATAATACTTTGACACCTATACTCCTACAAGACTGTTTACATTTTAGGCACGAAATCAAAGTATAAACTTGTATTACAATATCAAATGTTTAATTCAACAGAATATAAATAAATATATAAATATGTAAGAGTAAAAAAAAATTATTTTTGAAGTTTTTTATTGCTAATTATTTATTGGTTAATAAACCTGAAATGCCTTTTCATAAGTTATAAAAATGAACCATAAAATAACAACTGCTTGTTAAAAAAAATCAATATGATTAGATATAAACTTCCTTAAAAATCGTTTCAGTAGTCATAAAAACTATTTGAATAATTTAATTGTAATATTTATTATAAACCTTTTCTTAATAGCAAACAAAATCTTCAAGAAAGTCTGTAAGCCCTAGTAATAGAGCATTCCCACTTGACAAATGCAAGCCAAACTGCAAGCAGAAGCGACAACAGCAACAACACTAGAAGCATTTGTCATGGCAATTGATAGCGAAGAAATCCGCAACACCCAAAAACAAATTCAATTTAACTTTCAGCAAATATACACAAACCAAAAAACAAAACAAAACGCTGCCACAACATGGAGAATAAAACGAAAACAATACGAAATTAAATTCAATTTTCATAGGCATAAATATATCTAACAAATAGCATTATATTACAAAAGTAACACAAATGAAATCATTCGATTATAACGGCAATATTTTGTGCATTTTGCAAATTCCCAACAATATTTATTTGCTGTTGACAGTTTAGAGTCGAACGGATGACTTTTGAAAGAGCAGCGTTTTATTTGTTTCTGGTCTACATTTTATTATTGCCTGTCCGAATGCTTTTAATTGCCTTTCATTAATTTTTACGCAATGCCGGTCATCATATGCAAATAAATTGCGCATACGCCTCGTTGCTGCCACATAAAGCACAGCCGTGACCAGCACAGTAATTGATGCTAAAGTTTTCTCGACAGCTAGATGCGGCTGAATAATTCTGTAGCCGTTCAGGGCTTCGGAGCATTTACCGAAGATAGATTAAAGGATTTGAGAGTTTAAAATGGCAAAAAGGAAATTAAATACTTCAGAAATTAATGGCATTAAGTACAAACAAATCTCAAATGAAGTTGTTAAGCTTTGAACAAGTTTTACCTTATTCAATTTATGTTGTTTGTCTAAATGTTATATATTTCAATACAATTATTAATCACATTTAAAGAATTTCAACGTAACAACTTTCGTGGTTCAAAAATATCATTCAACTATACATGAAAAGTTAAATTTATTTTGATCCTAATTAAAACAAGAGAGAACGCTATAGTCGGGTGCCCCGACTATTAGATACCCGTTACTCAGGTAAAGGGAGTGCGAGGGAGATGGAGATAGAAATTTGTATCACGCATAACTTTTTAACGAATGGTCCGATTTGAAAAATTTCTTCTACATTTCGATAGGTATTGATAAACACAATAAAACTGCATTTTTACTTTTCCGAAATATTTAAATTTTTAAAATCGTATATAAGCGATTGTGGGCGTTAAAGGGGGCGTGGCACCATTTTGAAACAAACTTGCGCTGCGTAGGAACTCCTAGAATCTGCTTGCAAAATGCCAATCTTCTAGCTTTTATAGTTTCCGAGATCTCAGCGTTCATACGGACAGACAGACGGACAGACGGACAGACGGACAGACAGACGGACAGACGGACATGGCTATATCGACTCGGCTAGTGACCCTGATCAAGAATATATATACTTTATAGGGTCGGAAACGCTTCCTTCTAGCTGTTACATACTTTTGCACGAATACAATATACCCTTTTACTCTACGAGTAACGGGTATAAATATATGTAGTACTTATTCTTTTAATTGCCTGTCGTAATAATTTGACACATATAAAATAACTTTTAAATTCATTCAGGCCTTAAGTAATTTTTTTTTAAATATTCAGCCACCTAATCAGTATGAAAACCGCACTTTATGCCTTGAGTTTTGGGTACTCCACGTATATAAATAAAGACCTGCCTCAGCTTAAAGTTCCTCCACGCAATCCAGCCGGCTCAGAGGTCATAATTTCTGGTTAAGCTGAGCGTAATCGGCACTTTTACCTAAATGGACCATAAGGCGTTAAAATGTTGTTATCGCCCCGCACAAAACCCAGGTCCACACTTCCACATCCCCGCTTTTGTCTTCGCAGGGCGACTTACCTTTGGCAGTGCAATAAAAAGCCGAAATACATTTCGATTATGCGGCAAGAAAGAAAATTTCTCTTGCCTTCTTCCTTAACTTTTCTTCGAATGTTTTTCTTTTTTCCATTCTATTTTATTTCTGTAAATTTTCCTGCTGCCCCTGACGACAATTTGAGGGAGGTCCACAACCCTTAATCGAAGTTCCCGTACTGTCGGCAATAAAAGAACGAATTTTGTAAGAAAATAGCATAAAATATAATTTGCTTGAAAGCCAAAATATGCTTACGAATCGGAGGGGTGTGGCTATCATTTTTATGGCCAAAGTATTCGAATTGTTTTGTCTAAATTGATGTCATTTTACCCCCGAGCATATGCCCAAGTATCCCTCAGTGTTTTCAGTCATATTTCTTTCTTAAAAAGTTTACACAAATATTTTAGCAAAAAAAAAAATTCCCGTACAGAGCAATTATGTGTCTGCCAATAATTGGAAGTGCCCTCTGTTGGTAAGTTCGTTTTATTTTGCCTTAAAATTTCTAGGAATTTTAAGTGTTATCACCTTTTGCAGCTGTTGCAAATTGGGACTCAAGTGTCTTTGCTTTTTTGCCTTCTCCGCGTTCGGTGTTTTGCTCATTGTAGCCTTGGTGGTCTACTTTTGTTTCTTCTACAATAAATCGGAGGACGAGACAACCAAGATTGATTTCGATTCTACTATGGGAACCACAGCTCTGGAGGACAGTGTACATACCACAGCGGCCCCATCGCTAGTTAGATCGTTTCTACATCAATTAATAGACCGAATTTGAGATGTACCCAAGTATCAAAAAATGTATAACAGAAATATAAGGTGTAAAAGGACCTTCACATTTAGGCTTCGAATCAGTCAAAGTTTTACTGACTCGTAAAATGTTATTTCATTTGCAGAAAGCTTAGGTCACTATAGACAGTTTAGACATTTAAAAATCTGATAAATATATTTATTAATTATATTTATTTATCCTTGCTGGCAAATACATTATATTATCTCTGCTTTAAACAATACTTCAAAAATGCCACACAGTAAACAATTTAAAGTAACTTCTAAGCAGATTTTGTGTATCGGAACAACTTGCCTAGTGAATGCCAAAAAAAATCTTTTGTTTTGCACTTTAAAAATAATTGTTTTGTATATACATTAAACCAAGCCATTTTAATCCAAATGGAGTACTCCTGGTCAAAGCACTTGGCACTTGGTTAGCTTGCCTTTCACTTATTCGGGCCGCAAACGAAGGAAATCTGTGGAAAAACCACCAACCCATCAGCTGCTGCTGTTGTGTGAAAAACTGATGCCAGTAGTTAATGGTACTTTGTATGCAAAGTGCAAGACAAAACGAATGCAAACAGAAGGGCGAAGGCAACATGGCCATGGAGCCATTGGGAAAAACTTTAAGCAAGACGTTCACCCCGTGGCCACAAACCGTTTTTTGGCTGCCATTTGATTATATGAAAATTTCCGCATTTTTCGATGGTTGTAAGCGTTTAGTGGCAAACAACTGACAGCTGCCGAAGCATTTAGCTCCCCCAGCTGCCGCACATATCCATATCCCCTGGTTGTCTGTGATGTGATTAAGATGGTTAGTCATTCTATTTAAGAGCTTGGCCCTAAGCTCCATAGCCACTAAAACGAAAGCCAGGCGAACGACTCACGAGGGTTATCGCCGATATAGAATCAGTTGCTCGAAAAAATATGAAAATAAATAGTTTCCGACACTGAATGTGGTGAAGCACCTGCAGGCAATAGTTTATTTCTTTTTAATGTGCATTTTATGTTACTATCGATAGTAAAAAATATTGATATTATCTACTGTTTTTTGTTATTTGTAAAATACCATTATGAAATTTGTTCTCTTTTTTGACATCATATCCAATTAGATCTTTATGCTCTTTCGTGGTCTATTTTTTTGGTCGAATTCGCACATGCCTTTTGAACGACATTTGAATAATATTGTTGACAGGTAAAAACGTGTTTGATAAGCAGCAGTATCGTGTCATTAATTCCCTTTTTTTTACCTTTTATATGCCAAGCAAAAAAATGCTTCAATGAATTTCATTTCAATGGATTTTCGGTTTCCTTTATTTTTTCATTATGTGAAGAGCATCGTTGGAATTTCTCATTTTTCCCAGCTTTCCCAGCTTTTTTCTGCAATGCCTTTTACAGCATTTGAGCATTTGGTATTTGCTACCTAAAAATCGAAGAGGTGTGCGGTGGGGGACTTGGCCATTACTTCGATTTGTTTCTTATTTAAATTTTGTATACACTTCAATTGAAAGGAGAGGGGGCACACAGATATATACTTCGAAAGGAAGGGCGAGGAGGGAGTGGGGACGTTAAGTGCCTTTGCCGGTTGCAAAAGCGAATTAATGCCGGGGAAAAAAAGTAAAAGAAAATCGCTGCGGTTTCCTACTCTAATGCGTTTAATTTATATCCTCTTGCAACTACAACAAATAAAAGCAAAAGAAATTGGCCAGGGCTTGGGGGGATAAAATAAAAATATATATTTATTTTACAGCTGCTGCACTTAGATGTGCGATGGCAATAAAAAGCAGCCCCAGCAAGTGGCATTCAACACCTTTTTTTTCGTTTTCTATTTCCTCCGCCAGAAAAGCTTAATAAACAAACGCCGAAAATGGTCTAGAGGTGGGTGGTGGTGGGTGTAAGTTGGGTGGTGCGTTATAAACATTTAAGTCCACAATTTGAACAGCGTGTAAGGGCGCAGCACCGCAGCCTTCACCACCGCCCACTCGATGTCCTGCACTCCGCTTCAAGTGGAACTATCCGAGCAGCAGCCAAATGCTGCTGGCCAAATGCAATTTTCACGTGCAACCGCAACGATATTTATGCCACACCAGCAACAAAAGCTCAGCCGGAACCAATTTCAACACTACAAAAATAGGGGGCGTGGGAATATATATTTTTTCAGATTTTGGGGGAGTGAAAAGTGTTTTTTAGAAGCTGAAACTCCCCCCAGATCGCTTTGGTAATTTTTGAGAATTTAAATTTTTTTGGGATTCTGGTTTTGCTTTATGATGTTTTACACATTTTTGCAATTGATGAACAAAATTATTTATTTTAAATGACGAAAATGAAATATGAATTAGGTTTATTATTTTCTTAATTAAATATAACAATATTATATACAAATTATTTACTTAAGAAATTGTATAGAATAGCTACTTTTAGCTTGCCAAAAAAAAAAACAAAAAAATATAAAAATATCTTGAATCTTTAATTCTCGAACTAAATTTGTTTTAAAAAGTTAAATTTCTTAATAAATTTTATTTACACCCAAATGGTTTCAGGCCTACAATTTTTTATTAATCGTGAGCAAAATATAAATATTGTTATCAATTGAAACCTGTTAAGTAACATATTTGCTATGAATAATTATTAATATTTTAACACCTATGAGGTCTAGTGAATAACGCTACGATATAGTTTCAATTGGGAGATCTGTTAAATAAATATCTTTTTAATATTTGAATAGGCTTACAATTTTTTCGTATTATATGCCTTTACAATAAAATACGAACAAATGCTTTACAATTTGTTGAAGTGAACGAGAAGGTATTCAGCTGCTGCCGGTTCCTCGTTCGACAATAACTGCGACTGGTTGACACCACCTCCAAGGCACCACCCACTCGGCGATCTCACCCCTGCACCACCCAGTACCACCCACTTGCCACCCACCTACCCCACCCAAAGTCACAGCTGCACCTTTCGCCACCATCTCATGTGTGTGTTGCGTTTGGTTGTCGGGGTCGAAGAGTTCCGTGCGTGCCCTTTCCTTCATACTATGCGGCAACATAAACATTCCACCAACTGTGGTAAATGGGGGAGGCACAGTGCCATGGACCACTGCAAGGTGAAAATATTTCGGGAAATTCCAAAATTGAACTTCGGCCAGAGAGGAATTTTATTCAGTTCCAAAAATAAAGCATTTTTAGGAATAATAAAAACATGAACATTTACCAAAAATATTACTTCATGATAGAATAAAATTTTAACCAGTGGTTATAGCCTTTAATTTTGTCACTGTATTTAGGAATTCAGCTTAAGCTTTAAATAAATTTTTAAATATAATTTATTTATAATATATATTGCCTTTTTTATTTTATAAATAAAAATATTAAAAATAGAAGTCTTTAAGCGTTCTTAAAGGTTATTTACTATAGTCTTTAAGTATCCTTATGTGACTTTAAAATTTACCCTTTACATGATATGAATTAAATCTTATATATTATGTATACGTTTATGGGCTGCAGTTAACCAGCTTTAAATATATTGAATTACTTTTATTACACTTTTGTGGAGGCATTTTCGCACTTGCTGTAGTTCAAGCCCAAGTTTATTTATGGCAGTTGCATTCAAATGAGGAGCGCTCGCAACTGGGCCCCCAAATGCTCGATGGCTTCCGTTTGGTAACGACAGCGGCGGCGACAACCCCGACGACAACCCTGCAATCTCAAGTAGTCATAAACACGACCGTGCACCTGCAACTGCCACGATTTCCCTTTCTCCTTGCTGCTTTCTCCTTGTTGCTTTGTTCTTGCCCCCCTATTCCCGCTTTCCCCCTCGAGGAGGAGGAGTTTCGGATTCGAGTTCGGGTTCCAGTTTCCGCTTCCGCTGCAATGTGTCGCTGCCATTATGCAAATGCCGGCTCTCAAGTGGACAGACTGCTCATTGCAATCTGCATTTAAATGACCCCGGCGAGGTGCAAACGCGCTCCGAGATTCCTCGGCATCATTTGCAAAAATATTAAAGAAAACTCCCCCTGCCCGAAATGGAATATTTCATGTGCACCAAGGAATTATGCATCACCACGCCTTTTGCCGCAGTTATCATCGCAAATGAGTTGCGGAAACAGGTAATTGAAAGCCTCTTTTAGGAAAGGGGTTGGATTAGACTTACAAATTAGGCCTTGAGATAATCGTAACTTTTGATTGATAAAGTGATGCTTCAATAAGGATCTCTTATTAAGACGAATTTCATCTTGATTTTTTTTTGGAAATGTCACAATAAAATACGTTTGGCCTTTCAGAAGTTCTTTTAACAAATAACCCAATATATTTCAAAGTCTAGTCCTACTTTTTTTTTATGCACATGTAAAATGATAATACTATTAAGGGCATATTTTAAAAGATTACTTAATATATGTACACGGTACTTTTGTGCCACAAAAATGGGTTTCCATTTTAATATAAAAAAATTAAATTGATTAACTAATAATAATTAATTCATTAAGTATACTTTTTATGATTTTTTTATAGAAATATTTTGTACATCCATTTTTACACCTGATTCTGCTCTTTAATTTTTCAATTTTATTTATCGGTTAGTTTAATGAAGATAAACCGCTGAATAAATAATCCTATCAAATTGCTGCTTAAACTCTATATTTAATTAAACTAATCTGTTAATATATAAACATACTGATGTGGATTGAATTTAGTTATTTTTCCCAAAACCTGGCTATGATCCTTTCGATAAAACCATCTTAAAATAATGAAAATAATCTCTGTGTGCAGAAATCTGAGCACCAGACTAATTTCGCGGGCAGGTGCGGATGCATACAAGATCCCCTGTCGTTTTCATAATTTTGACAAGGTAACACACACGAGCACACCACCACCCACACACACACACACACCGCAGGGGAGACAGCTAATAAAGTTACACACACACACGCACAGGCCGATACAGACTGAAAGATTGTGTGTGTAATGCGTTTTGTTATGCTCCCTTTTCCCCCAAGAGAGTTGTTAACGTTTTTTCATAGCCGTGTTTACTCTTTTTCATCTTGGCGCCGTGACTCTAATGACACGCCCCCAGTCCACCGCGC